ATTGTATTGCACAAACACCAAGTCGAAAGAGTTTTTTTTTATTGTTGGATAAAGTGTATGCTTCGAGTTCGCGAGTTTAGCACTGTCAAGAAACCATAGAAAATCTCATATCTGCATGCATAAGTAATAATGCGACTGGGCTTGATTACAGTTTGACTAGGAAAATTTATACAGCGCATGGCAGTAGCTGCTCCCCGCAAACATTAAAACCTTGTATAAAGAAGTAATGTTATAACAGTAAGAAGTAAGCTGAATGCAGCAACAAAATAGCAAGAGAAACAGATTGAGTTAAAGTTATGCTTTCTGATGTTGGCGCTCTCAAAAGACCAATTAAAAATGTCAGCCAGCTGTAATATTTACAGCAAATATAAAGCCACGTTTCAGGTAACGGATTCATATGACGACGAGTAAGACAGAATAAACAAAAACAGCAAACAACATGGCACATACACAAATCCAGACATAACACACAACAAAAAAAAAAAAAAGAAAAAAAAACAATACTCAACTTTGTTGTCTTTTTAGAGGAATTTTCTGTAATTATTCTTTGAACAGAACTTGACTCTGCCAACCCACTTTGCTTGTTGTACATGCAGCACACAACAACAAAGTATATGTAAACATTACACCTGTATTGTGTGTGGTGGTTGCCTCGTTATCGTCGTCAACACACAGGCATTATACAACATAAGCGAATAACAACAAGCAATAATATTGCTTGTGCATATTGTATCGAATTCAGTTGTGCTATTTTACCACACAACATATGAGTCGACATTGTGATCAGCTGTTTAAGACTGAGCGGGTGTAGTGGTATGATACATTCGTTCATGTTAAACTACAACTACTTTTTTGTTGCTGTTTGTGTTGCTGTTATTGTTGTTGTTACTGTTTTGAGTGCTGGCACGCTGCCGTCCTTTTGTTCGCACATTTGTTTTTGTTTGCTGTGCATAGCGCACAGTCTACACGTCGGTCATGTAAAGTTTTAATTTTATTTAAGTTGGCTTTAAAAAAAACTATAAAAAACGATTACTTGAGATATTTTGTTCATTGTAACTGAGTTGGTATTATGACGTCAGTCTGTTATACATTATACTTAACAACAGCGTTTTATGTTTACGTTTTATTGCTCAATCTGTACATAAAATTCAAAGACAGTTTTGCAACCAAATATACACATTTATGCTGCAATGAATTGAACACGTTACATACATTTAAATCGGTTTATGTTATAGAAGTATACGAGAAATATCGGTGAATTTATGGACGGATGAAGGTCAGAGTCAGAGTGAAGGCGGAGTGACTAGAATGTCGTCATTAAACAACAAAATTTTTTAAATTTAAATGACTTTGGAGAATCTTAGTCTTTACCAAAAATTATAGTAGCCTATCTACGCTTTCTCGAGGCTTACACTAATTTCATATATAGAACATAGGAATGATGTAAGGAGTTGAATAGAAGATAAGGTTAGAACATTAGTAGGACAATAGTATATAACAGCAATAGTTGTGGAATACCTATTATTAGGTTTATAGAAACTTTGTCAAAAGACAAAAGCTTTGTGGTATTTTATTATATGGGCTTATTATGTTTAATTTTATTATTTCACAAAAAAAAGATTAAGTACATGAATTGTTTTGAATAGAAAATATTATAACACAATTATTATTAGCACAATAGTAAGATGGTAGAAAAAAATACTAGTACATATGTAACAGCAGTGTTTATTTAAGTTATAATAATAAATTAGTAGTTTAAAATAATAACATTTTATTAATTGAGTATTTTTTTTAATACTAGTGTGATACCGACTGTACACATTACATACCACAAAATAGTGAAACAGCACTGGGATAGTTCTAAAAGAAAGTTTTTCGTAAGATCTTTGGTCCTCTGCGAATTGACTACTGCATTCGAATGAACTACGCGCTGCAAGAGCTTTATCTTATTATTGATATAGCTCAGCGAATTCACATCCAACGGCTTCGCTGGATTGGTCATGTCGTGATAATGGATGAAGATGCTCCATCAAGTCAGCATCTGGTGATGGAGAAAATATGAAGCATAATGTTTTCGAAACGAGTTGAACCCTTGTTTAGTTTAAAGAGTGAAATGCTTACGTGTTTGAAAGATAATTTTGAGAATATAACACAGAATGATAATCAGAAGGGTTCGAATCTTCACATTTTATTTCGAGATGTGTTACAATTGCTTGTAAAAATAAAATATGGAAAGTAAAATTTCCCGTATCTTATTGAAATACAAATTGTTCGACTTATATAATATAAATGAAGTAAAGAATAATAATCAAATACTTTTTTAGATTTTTTCAACTAGATTAATAAGAGAATCTACAATTTTATTTTAAAGATACAAGCACAGCTTTGATATTATTATTGTTACTGTTGTTTTTTGTTCCATCATCTAACCAGAAAAACTTTTAGAAGTAGTAAGTAGTACTTGTTATCTAGTATGAACGGCTGGCTTTACGACATATACCGGAAAGTTTCAGTGATGTTTAGTTACTTCTATTTATATTTCTTAAAAGTTACAATATAAATAAAATTCATGGGTTAAATTTAGTTTATATCTACATCGTATTTTAATTGTAAAGGTAACGTCTTTGCAAACAGACTCGTATCAAAAATAACTTACCATAAACAAAATAAAGTATATATTTTATTATATATAATATACATCATTATGCTTACCTGAAAATAAAAAAATAACATTATAAAACATTAATTTGAATTATTTATGAACAAAACAAAAAAAAAAACAAGAAAAAAAAAAAATATAAATAACTTAATAATAAAACGTACATATTTTTTCTTAATCATATATAAGGGATAACTAATCGTATAAGGAAATATAAAAGAGGGGTCTACAAACATTTCCTTGTCAAGTTGCTAATTCATAATGAATATGTTTCCATTTTTTTATTCGATCAATATAAGTATAAAATATTAAATAAATATGACATGACATAAGTTCAAAATATTAGCAAATATATTTCAGATTGTGAAGGAACCAGCTCACTTATTCATTAAATTAAAAACTAGTTGACTTAATGATTTTAAGTTGAAGTTGCGTAAAAAAACTGTACATAAAAATTAATTAAAAACTGTCTACACACATATGTATATATAATTATATATTTTTTTGTTATTAATTTTCCTGTATAGATCTTCCACAAATTTTGTTATTATCCTTAATTATTTTATTTTGTAGCTTTTATTTGTGGTCAACCGGCATGCAATCAAATATGTAAGCTTAGCTTAATATAATTTAAAAGTTACAAGTTTTAAGTATAGTTGAAAACGATATTTAAGTCAATCAGTACCGACTTTAGTTAGACGGTACAAACCGGGTTTCTCACTGGACATAAATAAGCATCTACGAACCTAGGTATTACAAGAGACGATAGCTGCAGCAGAACACATTATGTGTCACTGTGACAGTATCGCCAGAGTCAGACTTCGGTACTTATCAACTGCCTATCCACTTATAACGGAGTTAGGCAACATCTCTCCAAAGGACATAATGGCGTTCTTAACTGCTACTCGTCTATGGAACTAAAGTGGGTCACAATAATCCTCAAAGGATGTAAAGACGT